TAGTGGATTTCGGCCTTATACTTGATCACATCCCAATTAGGTGTGACAATATGAGTGCTATTAGTCTAACGAAGAACCCCGTTCTTCACTCGCGGACTAAACACATAGAAATTAGGCATCACTTCATACGAGATCATGTCCAAAAGGGAGATGTCACAATTGAGTTTGTTGAAACGAAACATCAATTGGCGGACATTTTCACGAAACCCCTTAGTAGGGAGAGTTTCTTCCACATTCGGAATGAACTTGGCATTTTGGATATCTCTATGAATTAATTCATTCTTTTTATTGATGGTACTAATTTGAGCGTCGGAGGCGCAATAATTCTTTTTTGCAGGGTATATTTTCAGTGTTTCAGGGCAGTTTTCGAAACTGGAACAGAGGGGATCGATCTCCACAATTGGATCGATCACCCAAACCGAAGCTTTTTCAAATTAAACTTCGGCGGATCGATCCCGGATATAGGATCGATCCATTGGGCCTTTCTCTTTCACAGGTTTTCTTCGGCAGATCGATCCACCTAATGGACCGATCACCTGGGCGAAATAATCAAATCTGTATTCAGCCCAACGTCAGGAGGACCGATCCAGGCTTATAGATCGATCCATGGTTTTATTTGGTTCTAGGATCTGTTTCGGCGGATCGATCCAAGCATAGGGATCGATCACCTGGACTTAAAAGGCGCAGATACTCTTTTACGGAGGATCGATCTCCTTGGATGGATCGATCACTCTGACTTACGGTATATATACTCTCCCTTCTTCGTTTTTCCCATTTTCCATCGTCTCTGCTATCTGCTCTGTCTCTCTCTATCGGCGACCAAGGTTCTTCGATTCCCAGGTTTGTTCGTCGCCTCGTATCTTCAATTTTCTTGCAAATTACTTGTTAATTGTTGTAAATTGATGATTATTGTTACTTTTTTTATCGCTTTCTTGAGATTAAGTGGTTTTTCCTTTCTCTCTTAGGGTTTCTCGTTCTTCTCGTGCTCAAACCCTAGCCACCATGTCGGATCGTCGAGGAAGTAAACGTTTGCGCACAAAATCTCATGAAGGTGAACCATCTACCCAAGAGGAACGATTTATCTCTTCATTTGTCTTTCCGAGAGGTGATTCTAAACGCCTCTTCTATAATGACTTCTTGAATCGTCCTATTTTGACACCCAAATGCGTTCTTCATACCGTATTTTGTCATCTACCTTTCCAAGATGCCACAATTTTCATTGATAGACATGGTGTTACTTCTTTTGTTCGTGAGAATTTTCCTGTGTATTGTCCGAATCTAATTCGGTTGTTTTATACAAATCTCACTTTCAACGGACGGGTCCTCAAAACCTCCGTTAATGGCACCGACATTGAGATGACTCTCAAAGATATCGGTGAACTTTTTAAACTTTCTTTTGAGGGTTGTGATTTTCACAAGTTTGCATCTAAGGAATTCAAAAACTTTTCCTCTTACGACACCATTTCCGAGGTGTGCCTTGAAGAAATTCTTGGGCGAGAACGCCTAACCGTTGGAGGTCTTAAGCCTCATTTTCGAATTCTTCATTACTTCATTTCGAAAGTATTAACTCCTCGTAAGTCGAGCCATTCCAAAGGACTTTCGAGAGAGTCTCTCGGAGGACTGGACTAGCCACGAGGTGGTGAACCAGTATAAATCTCGGTGTTCTTCTTTCCCTTACTCTTTTTATTTATTCCTGCGATTTTATTATTTCACACACGCGAAAAACGCACATTCTTGAGAAAAACTCTATTCACCCCCCCTCTAGAGTTGCACATTTGTCTAACAAACAAAAGCTTTTAATGCATTGAAAACAGCCCTGTCCACCACGCCCGTGCTTCGATTACCAGATTTCTCCCCCTTTGTGGTGGACACGGACGCTTCAGCTACTGGGATCGGGGCCGTACTTCTTCAGGTCGAGCAACCAGTGGCGTATTTCAGTAAAAAATTGGGTCCCCGACGACTGGCCGCGTCAACGTATCATAAGGAGCTCTATGCCATCGTGGAGGCCGTTCAAAATTGGCGCCAATATTTGTTGGGTAGGGAATTCTTGATCCGGACTGATCAACGAAGCTTACGGGAACTACTCCACCAAGTGATTCAAACTCCGGATCAACAATTCTACGTCCGAAAGCTTTTGGGGTACCGGTTCAAAATTGAATATAAGCCGGGACGGACAAATTGTGTCGCGGGTGCCTTATCGCGGCAGAAGATTCGGGTGCAGATTCGGGACAATCTTGGCTTTGTCTCAGCCACTGCCGGACATCATAGAGCAGATTCGGGCCGAGAACAGTACCCAACCCGACCTGCTGCACCTACACCAAGCTCACCAACGTGGCACCCTCCAGCCCCCGTTCTCCATCGTGGATGGACTGCTCCTCTACAACACCCGTTTATGCATTGGGGCCGATTCACCCCTACGGCAGGTTCTTCTCCGGGAGTACCATGACACGCCAACGGCAGGTCATGCGGGCGTCCACCGTACATTTTTCAGGCTGGCCACTTCGTTTTATTGGCCTCGCATGCGGTCAGAGGTCCGGGCATATGTTGCAGCATGCCATACATGTCAAACGACCAAGTTTTCAACGCAACCGCCTGGCGGGTTGCTCCAGCCCCTCCCTGTTCCGCAGCAAATCTGGGAGGATGTCACCATGGATTTCATCACAGGGCTTCCCCCTTCCCGAGGATCCTCTGTTATTTTGGTGGTCGTCGACAGGCTCTCCAAGTATGCCCACTTCGGTCCTCTTCCGGGTGATTTTGATGCTCATCGCACAGCGTTTCTATTTGTGGACATGGTCATCAAATTGCACGGGTTTCCTCGTTCGATCGTTTCGGATCGTGACAAGGTTTTCACGAGTACATTTTGGCGGGAATTACATACTCTCAGTGGCACCACTCTCCATCATTGCACCGCCTTTCACCCGCAAACCGATGGTCAAACGGAGGTGATGAACCGCACGTTAGAGCAATACCTCCGGGCCTTCGTGCATGCCAGACCGAAATGGTGGACGGTCCTCTTACCTTGGGCAAAATACTCCGTGAATACCAGCCTCCATGAGGGTCTGAAAATGACACCATTCCAAGCCGTCTATGGTCGGCCTCCGCCGGACCTCATCCCATATCGACGGGGTGCAAGTCGAGTTCCAGCAGTTGATGAAGTTTTGGCCGAACGCGACGAATTGCTGCGCATGTTACGTGCAAACTTGGCAGCCGCGCAACAGCGGATGAAGACCCATGCCGATGCCCATCGACGGGACGTGGCATTTAAGGTGGGGGATCTGGTCTTACTCAAATTGCAGCCTTATCGGCAACATTCCGTTGCTCGGCGCACCTGTCAAAAGCTTTCCCTCCGTTATTATGGGCCGTTTGAGATCTTGGAGCGCATCGGGGAGGTCGCCTATCGTTTGAAATTGCTGCCGTCGTCTCGCATTCACCCTGTTTTCCATGTGGCAGTGTTGAAGCCTTACAAGGGGCCTTCGGCCGACATCACTCCCTTACAACTGCCCGAGGAGCTGGAGGGTGGCCGTGTGCCCTCGCGGCCGGTTAGCATTCACGCCTCTCGTCGTGTTTTACATGCAGGTCATCCGGTAGATCAAGTGCTTGTTCGTTGGAGTGATGGTTCCCTTGATGATGCAACGTGGGAACAAGCCGACCAGATACGACGTCAATTCCCCGAGTTGGACCTTGAGGACAAGGTCGTTCCTCAAGCGGTGGGGAATGTTACTGAGTCACAGCCACCAGAGCGCAAAAGCACTCGCGTTCGTCGTCGTCCAGGATGGTAGCGTGAGTACGAGATGGAGTAATATTCTATTTTATTATCATTCATTATTGTAACGTAGATTTTTAGTAGGTGAGCAAATTATAAGCTTCTTTGGGGGTTTCTTTACAGTTCTTTACTCCGTCGCTTTTCTTTGAACCGTCAGAATAGACAACGTAGTTTTTTAGGTTGGGGAGTCTCTATACTATAAATAGGGACGGATACTATGCATGATAATTATCAATAATACAAAACCTAATTCCCCTCTCCTTTCCGCACGGCACTTCTTCTGCTCCCTGTCTTCTTCTTCGTTTCTCCCCCTTCTCCTTCCCCAGCTTCTTGCACGAGTTAGAAGGCACTCCGAGCCCTTCCCAAGTCGATACAATCGTATCAAAAGGTTTTGACGGAGCAAACGTTTGAACTTATAATCTGGGGGTAATAATGTGTTGCTAGATACCGCTTACTTACTTATAGTATTGGTGTAGAGTCAATACTGTGGCCAGTTTTATAAGTGCCTATATGGGTCACATACTTTTGACAATTTAAAGAGTAGGATTATAAGAAGGGATAATATTTAATTTGTATATTGTAAAATAGTAAAGTAAAATGTTTAATATAATATATATGTATGTATATACATTGTACACGGCACATATAAAAATATATATGTACTTGTTACATGTACGAATATATATGTGTGTATATATGTACAATAACGGCACATAAATATATATACATATACTTATTATATGTACAAGCATATATATATATATATATATATATATATATATATATATATATATATATTTGTGTGTGTGTGTAATATGTATGTAACGTGTACATATATGTATATATTACTTTATATATATATATATATTTAAAATACGAGGAAAGAGACACAGATTTGGTAAGAATAACGAGGAAGGAGACACAGAAGAGACACGGAAAGGGAGAAGAAGAGGGATGAATTACCTGGATAAAGTGGAATAGATTTCTTGCAGGAAGAATAGTCCAAGAATTTGTTCACTCCTTATTAATAGGCGAGGAAGACGGTGTCCTGTGGCGGTGAAAGAGGTCGTGGGTCGGTGACGGTGTAGAAATTGCGGGAAGGTGAGGACAAATGGTAGAGTCAGAGAACAGACGGCGGAATAGATATTGTGGCGGTGTCTGTGAATTTTGGAAAACAGAGCGTAGGATTGCTGTAAACTGACGGGGAAATGGGCAATTGGACGGAACAGTGACGGAAAAAGGACCTAACTTCACGGAGGAAACTTTGTTGGGCCTTATAATATAAGGGGGATTATATTGTGTACATTTTATTTTGGAGTGTCATTTTAATTATGAAAAAAATTATTTTGACAAAAACTATTTTAAAGTATATTTTATATACTTGTTTTAAAATGTTTTGGGTATTTTATTTTATATCATAAAATTATTGATGTCAAATAAAATACACTTTGAACATTTAAGAGGAGAAGAATTAAATTCTTTCCCCTTCACTCCTTTCGTACAAGATGTGTAAGTGGGGAGCTTGTCTCCCACTTTGTGTATTGAGTGGTGGAGGTGAATTTGACAAAAAGCTTTTTTGTCATTTTATAATTATTAATGTTTTATTATTTTGATATATTGAATGCATCTTCACACCCTCCCCACTCTATGACTTCATCTTTTCGGCCAAACCAAAGCGAAAAGGGAGCGAGAATATTTTGGGTTCAAAATTATTTTGGGTGTAGAAAATTGTTATAATATTTTCTTTAAAATATTATTGATATATTTTCTACTATTTAATATACAAGATTAATATTATCCCTCTTAAATCTTTATATTAAATATACTATTATAATCTTTACTAGCATAAAGATTATAGTAGACTCCGGAGATTGTTCGTGTTTCAAAGTTGGAGGCCGGACGCTTGAACGGCTACGTTTGCTCCTTCAACATCTTTTGCCCGACTTCTCGTTCATACCGCTTTATCGAAGAAGGTATAAGTTTCTATCTCTAGCTATAGTTTTAGTACGTGTTCTTGGACTAGTAATCACTTTTGGGAGATTAAATTTTTGTATTTCCGCTGCCCTCCCAACCGTGGTTCCCTTTCACCAAGATTTACTGATTTGTATACATATTATATACACAAAATGAGATATCAAACAGAATGACTCATTTCAGATATTTCGAACACTTTTTAAGTGCATCCTTTCCATGCACATATTGTTTGCATGCATTTGGAAACAAAATGCTTATGGAACATTATTTACATATTAACAAAAATAAAAGTTTTCACTTTGTTTGATACAATAAAATAAACTAAATGATTTTTTGACTAGATCTTTAGTCCAAGATTTGAAAAATATAATAGATGAGCATAATATTTTAGCACATACTTTCAGAAGAGTTAATTAAGTGAGGTTGTTGAGGAGTAGAACTAGATAAACCAAAATCTCCAAGTATTAAATTAGGACAAGACAAAATTTGACATATGTAGATTTCTCATGATATTTTGTGTACAACAAGTCAACAACAAGGAGGGGAAATGCTTCTTCAGGCAACGAAGACCATCATAGGCTAGCTACAATATGTGTGCCATGCCAACAGGAACCAAAAAGTTATACTACTTGAGAATATTATTAATTATAATTATGTGAAATTTGCACTAAATAGGACTAAAACATAATGACTTTCCTAATGTAGGACTTAAACTTTTTTATTCCCCAAATAGGACTTATTAATGACCTAGTGGAAGGAATAATGTCCAGTAACGATGGACATTTAGTTGAATAATGACTACTTGATAATGACCAAAGGTCCTACATTGGGAAATAAAAACATATGGTCCTATATTGGGAAAGTCATTATGTTTTAGTCCTATTTAGGTAAATTTTTCTATAACTATCTAGCGAGGATGTAAAAGTTATGAGAGCTAAAGGATAGTTAAGAATGTTGTACATATCTCATTTGAGGAAGCATGTAAAGTATTTGGGTTATTAACCGATAATAAATTATTTATTGAATGTATGAAAGAGGCTGCTGAGCTAAGGTCTAGGAGTCAGCTAAGAAAGTTGTTCGTCACATTATTACAAATATCATAAGCAGCTCATAAATTATTTCAGAAGAATCAAGAGAACTCTTGGTCAGGGGAATTTTAGTTGAACAAAGGAGAATATTGTGTAATTAAGGTATTTCAATATAAATATACTTTTTGTTATTTACGTATTGATCCATATGAAATGCATAGTATGGAAACAAAACATGAGAATTGAGAGTGAGTTAAAATAATTTAGTCACATCTTAATTATTTATTTTTTCATAAACTTCTTATCTCATGAGAAGACCTAAAAAATTTTATTTGATTGAAATTGAAAAGCTTCTTAATTCAAAGGGACTATCTTTAAAAGAACTCAGTGGCATGTCATTTTTAGATGATAGTCCACTTGATGGATTTCAAAATAATTTTTTGGTAGAGGAGTTGAACTAGGACAAAAAAGTTGTCATCTGATCTTCGAGGATATTTATATACGATGAATGAATATCGTATGAAGATATTCGAAGAAACAATGAAAATGAAAGTCGTGACAGCTGAAAGAGGAATTTTTTTTATGGTTAGAGTGGAACAAGAAAAACATTCCTCTAGAAATCAGAATCCGCTTCCCTATAATCAAATGGTAAGTTTATTTCAAGTGTTGCATTCAGCGGCATTGCACCATTGCCCTAGCATGGCGGAAGGATAACACTCTCAAAATTCTGAATCCCTTTGGCACTAACTTAGTGCTCAACATGTGTCATCAAACAATAGACTCCGAAAGAAGACTTAACCCAACAAGCAAGTCTTATCATATGAGATGAAGCATGTATGATGAATAAATTTTCTTTTGAAACATAAGATCGCACGATGAGAGATGTTAACTCTAGAAATGAACCATTCAGAGGGAAATAAGATGTATTTGGAGGTGCTTTTTTGCCAAATTCTTCCAGTTTTACCCATAGCATTATGAAAGGAAATTGTAGGTACCGTGAATTCATCAAAATTATGACCGTATTGTAAAATTTTTACATTGACAAAAAATATGAGTTTGCATTCAGTTATATTCTCTTGCACAGATCGGGACACACAAGTTTAGTCTTATCAATTAATCAAAGTCGAAGATGCAAACTGTTGATATTAAAATCACGCCCAAATTCTTGATTTTCGATACAAGTTATCCCATTAAGAGTATAGTGAACTTCACTTATCCAAACATATTGGAGAAAATGATTTTTTAGGATAGGGCACTATTGGAACCAACTCTCAAAGTTGTTGACATGGTAACTTTATTTTGAGTTCTGATTTTTTATGCCAAGTAGATGCAGATGTAGGTGTTGATGGCAATTGGATAACACTTGAGTTTTTTGAATGAAATCAAATGTTCGGAGATCTCAAACTACAAAATAATTTTGAAAAAGGGGAATTAATTATGTTGTTGAGGTACATTGACCAGACATCTAGATTGGGTAATGGTATAAGACTAGTCGTTGAAGAGTTAAAAAAGAATGTTATCGGTGTCAATTGTTATCTCGGGAAATTAAGTCGAGGACGTGAATGAATTTGGTATCATCTAATCTTGGACTACCCTTAAAACTCTAGAGAAGACATATCGAAATAGTCTTATGTTTTACTATGACTATAAACAAAGTTTTATTTTCGCTATGACTATTAACAAAAGTCAAGGACAAACATTATCTTTTGTTGGATTATTTTTAACCAAGTCTATATTCACTCATGATCAATTTTATGTTAATGTTTCATGAGTGAACACAAAGACAAAGTAAAAAATATTGATTCTATGTGATAATGGAAACTCACGCAACCATACGAAAAATGTTGTGTACGAGAAATCTTTTGAAAAATTTGGAGTTGAAAAAGACTTTGTTTTGTACACTTTTAATTCTTAAAATATTATGTATTCTACTTTGAATTTGATCTCTATAGTATTAAAAAATCAAGCTTAAAATATATTTTCTTTATTCCTAAAAATATTGCATAAAAAAGTTTAGAATCGACAAAAAAATTAATCCATCATGTGCGTCGCACAGGTCAAAATACTAGTTATACTAAAATATATAACATTCCTTCCTCATTTTAGTGTAATCCTTGATTAGCTAACAAATTCCATCCTAACAAACAACAAACTTGTGCATAAATGAAATATCGTGACGATTGAATTTCATCTTAGTACATTACACATTCCAATTATCCGAATATCAGGGTATCTCTTAGGATTGAATCCTTATTATTCATTTTGAATACATGAAGATAATGTACACAAAATTTACATGCTTTAATGTTCTAACTTGACACTATTATTAATTAGCCTTGTGTCCTAATCCTTCATAAGCATATAAAAGTGAAGTCCTTGCTTCTTGAAATGGCTAACCTTCATGCTCATATAGGTTGCTCTTTTATTCTTGCACCTACATATACAATTTTTCAAAGAAGCTATTTTGAGCAGACGTACTTCAGCCTCTTAATCTTACATGTCCGAACACATATCTTGGGATGATATAATTAATGTGTCCTGATTTCTAGATGTTATGATTTTCCACATCAAATTCAGCATCTAATGTCATATTAGATGTAACAGCCCAACTTGTACAACCTGATTACCGAAACTATCTGGGTCGGAGTGGCAGTCCAGCAACGTCCAGACGAAAACTAGCGGCGGCGACCAGGGCTTCCCCCTACTCCGGCGAGTAGCGTGTTGGAAAATATTTTCACTTTGACATTTCGCTATTGACAATGTTTGTTTCCGTTTAGGTTTTGATATTGACAAACCGTCGAGAACATGGAACAAAATGAAAAGATAGAAAAAGTTCTTTGAAGAAACAAAAAGCACAAGAACGGCATTGACATTGCTAAAGATGGCGACATTGGCGCTTTGAAGACGTATTCTAGAGACTTAGGTTTTATTGTAACAAGCTCATTCAATTTCTCTACGTCATGGCTCAAAACAAAATAACAAAATATGTTTTTCATGCATCAAATTAATTTTTTCATAAATGGTTTTTAAGTTTCTAAAACCCATGGTTCTTTCTTAACCAAAACCATAACCATCGGTTATCGGCGTTCGGCTATGACGTTCGATTTTCGGCATTGGTTATTGGCATTGATTTTAACCAAATGGTTTTTGGGTTTTTATCTTTGGTTTATGCTTCTGGACACATTTAAAGGTTTTCCAAATGATTAGTTTTCAAAAACCATAACCTTTGTTTTTCGGCGTTGGTTATCGGCATTCGGCGCCGGTTATCGGTGTTGGTTTTTGGCGCCCAAATCAATCAAGTGGTTTTTAAGATTTTATGATTGAGTTTTAATTCTGGGCATATCCAAATGGTTCTCCAACAAAAGCATGTTAAAAACCACCTTTCATTTTTGGTCTTTTGGTGAAAACCATGTGAAACGGCATAAACTTGGCTAGCCGTGGTTTTTACCTTAATGAAGTGGTTTTTAAGTTTTTATACTTGGTTTCTACATAAAATACATTTTATATGAGTTTCCAACACTTGGTTTTCATTTTGGAGAACTTTGGTTTTTAACATCGGTTTTCGGCGTTGGCTGCCAAACCATGGTTCTGGCAAACCATCCCAACATGCATGTCGGAAATCCCAAAAGCGATGTTGGCCTTCAGAAGCCCTGGGCAGTAAGTTTTTGAACAGCGATGTTCATGGTTGAACAGTGATGTTTTCAAATGACCGTTGGGCTATTTAAGACAAAATCTTTCCATTTTTGAAAGTCAAACACCCCAACATCGATGTAGACTTCTAGACATCGATGTTTTGATGACCGTTAGCCATTTTTAAAGGAAAGTCAAAGCCAAAACAGCGATGTTCACTATATGAACAACGATGTCGGGCTAGATTTCAGGAGATCCACTTTTATTTGATTTCCACAAATCAAGCCAATCAACCCCAATCTTTTCCCAACCGTTGCACCTTGTTTTTGGGTATAAAAAGGGGGCTCTTGGGTCTACTTTTCATATCCATTCCTCACACATTTCATAGCTTTACATTGCATCATTCCATAAACTTTTTACATAGCTTTTTAGAGCCATTTCTTGAGGAATTGAGTGTGTTCTCGATCTAAATTAGTTTACTCATATTCTACTCTTTAAGAGAGTTTTTGTTCTTGAGTGGTTAAGTGTTGTGAACACTTTAAGGGAGGTTTGTTCCCTTAGTTGTACGAAGGAAGGGCATATTCCTTCGGGTTGAAGTCTTGGAGTGCGGTATCTCCGAGCAAGTGTATTGAGGCTCGTGGGACTCGAGTTCTCATGTTGTAACGGTTTGTTAAGCACCCGTAAGCTTAACGGAAGTAGTGTAGCTCCAGAGAGTCTCTCGGGAGACTGGACTAGCCACACATTGTGGTGAACCAGTATAAATCTTGGTGTGCTCCCTTTACTCCTTTTTATTCCGCTCTTTACTTTATCCCTGCAATTTTTATTCCGCGAAAATTTATAAACATTCTCGTGCCTCACTATTCACCCCCCCCCTCTAGTGAAGGGCACCTATTCTAACATAGCGTAGCGGCAAAGACAAACTAGAAGCGAGCGCAGAGCAATTGCGGAAATCCAGATCCAAAATTGTGTGACGAAATGACAGATTTTCCCCTAGTTCCTTCTTCTACTTATTTCAATTTTGAACCCTTATGTGTCATTTTACTCCTAATTTCTCCTACTCTATATATACTCCCCTAGATCTAATTTGTAAAGGGAGCTCCCACATTCCTTTGTTCTACATTCTAGATTAGGGTTTATGTTCATCTTTATCTTCTTCATCTTGCCATTTTTTATTTTTGGGAGCTCCAACATTATATTTTAACTCTTTAATGTTTGTTTAGTTATCTTTTGGTATTAATCCTTATTCCTTTAATATTTCCATGCTTCTTTGCTTATTTGCCTCTCTCTTATCTTTATGTATTTCTTTAGATTTAGCATGCTAGGCTAGATTTTCTAGCCTAGGTTAGGGATGGATTGTTGATTTGTGTTTCTTATTGATGGTTTAGTGTGAAATATGAGATATTGCTCTAGGCTTGATTTTCATTTACTTCTTGCATTTCATTGCATTAGTTTATTTTCATTCACTTTTATTTCATATACCTCATCTTCTCCTTCTATTTGGCCTAGATTCACGTTTAACAATTTGATATTGGTGTTTAGTTGCACTTTGCACTCGATTCCTAACCAATCACGCTATCCCCGTGGACTCGACAACCCTTACTTTCACCTCTTTACTCATTCCATTTACGTTTTCCACATTTCCATTTTACTTCACATCACATCTCTTTTTGATTGAGGGTTTCGATCGTGGCCAAGTGGAACTTTCCAACCGTGAGATAAAGAGCATATTGGAAAAAGTGGTGAATCCTTCGAGAAAAGATTGGGCTTTGAAGTTAGATGAAATGGTGAAGTGCCAATGGGTGTCTTGAATGCGATTCGGTAAGCCCATAAAGCATCATCTAAAGTTGGTACCATCAAACATGAGTTAAATTTAATTGGTTAAACAAGGTTAGAATTAGAAACCTTGCATTATGAAATTTGATCGGTACTTTAGAAGAGACGTTCTAAAGTTGGTATTGTATCATACAAATCAGATCGAGGGAACATAATTCATGTAGATTACAGGAGATCGATGAGAATGTCCCTCCAGCTAATGAAAAGTTGGCCTTTTATGATCCATTGTTTCCATATAGTTGTTTTTAAATTTCACGAACATTGAAGATCAGAGTAAATCTCAAGCACTGTATTGTACATATCAAAGTGCACATTATATTCCGAACATATTTTACACAATATAGAACTACATCAAAAAGTTTATGAATGAAAAAATGGCAAGACTATATTATTTTATCACATAAGTAACAAAAAGAGGGAGAAAAATTAAAATATAAGAAATTTGATCCTCTGAATAATAATTAAGAACCTTAATTGTATTACACATATAAGTACATACTACATATCAGTATTGCACAATCGTTCTTTTGAAATAGGTAAATAAGTTCTTTAGATAGCTGGATCGAAATTAAATATGGAGCCGATAGTTATAAGGAACAGCCACCAAGCGTTTAATACGAAGAATAGCAAAGCCAAACTCCTCAACCATTAATCCCAACTCTTGGGGATCCTCCGGAAGTTTCCAATCAAAGCAGTGGAGCAGTTGTGCTAAAACCAGGCGCACAACCGTGACCCCGAGTTGCATACCTGGACAGCTTCTTCTCCCAGAGCCAAAAGGGACGAGCTCAAAATGGCGGCCCCTATAATCGGTTTCGACACCTTGGAACCTCTCCGGGATGAATTTCTCGGGATCAGGCCAGACGTTGGGGTCGTGCCCAATTGCCCAAACGTTCACAAAGATTCTTGTTCCTTGTGGTATGTGGAAGCCGTCAACCTCACAATCTTCCCTGGCTTCGTGAGGGGCGAGTAGGGGTACCACAGGATGAAGCCTAAGCGATTCTTTTATCACCATTTCAAGATACTCCAAGCCCTCCAGATCTGACTCCTCCACCATCCTACCCAATCCTACACGCCTTTCCAGTTCGTCTTGGACCTTCTTCATATAGTGTGGGTGTCTCATGAGTTCAAACATTGTCCATTCAATCACCATTGCTGTGGTGTCCGTAGATGCTGCAAATATATCCTACGTCCATACCCACCCACATCCAAAAACAAATACAATAATGTAAGCCAAGGAAGATTATTAACACATTTCATACATCGAAATATACTTCCCCTCTTTCTAAATAAACATTACTTAAATATATATATATATATATATATATATATATACATACATATATATATATATATATATATATATATATATATATATATAGATTTTGGTTCTGGTGAGAATGCAATCTTAGGAGAGAAATGAGAAAGAATCTGGTGCTTTAGATTGTGCGATCTAAGGGTCAGGATTGCATCAAAATTAAGTGCAATAAAATGGTTTGAAAATGCATCACGTCGAAATGCATCATAATCCTTTGAAAATGCACTATCTCAAAATCTGAGCGCAGGATGCAATCTGAGCCGCACGATGCATCATATCCAACGGCTAGATTTCATTCTCATTTCTCCCCACAAGGTGCATTCTTACAGGAACCGGCCCCTATATATATATATATATATATATATATATATAGGGGCCGGTTCCTGTGAAAATGCACCTTGTGGAGAGAAATGAGAATGAAATCTAGCCGTTGGATCTGATGCATCGTGCGGCTCAGATTGCATCCTGCGCTCAGATTTTGAGATAGTGCATTTTGAAAAAAAGATTATGATGCATTTCGACGTGATGCATTTTCAAACCATTTTGTTGCACCTAATTTTGATGCAATCTTGACCCTTAGATCGCACAATCTAAAGCACCAGATTCATTCTCATTTCTCTCCTAAGATCGCATTCTCACAAGAACCAAAATCTATATATATATATATATATATATATATATATATATATATATATATATATATATATATATATGTATGTATATGTATGTATGTATATATATATATATATAGGGATTGACTCCAGTGCGATGATACCTTACGGTGCGATGACATGCTTCGGTCAGATGACGCAAAGCTCACCATTGCCCACTGCAAAGCTCACAAAGCACAACTACAAAGCTCACCAAACTGTAAGGCAAAGCTCACCATATTTTTTTCAACACTTTGAATTTTTTTTGAAAAATAAAATCAAAGGAAGGGGTGCTGACTAGACTTTGACCGTTGACTCTAACTTTGACTGCCGCCTGCCGCCAGCCGCCGCCAGTCGCCGGTCACCCCCGCCGCCGGTCGCCAGCCGCCGCTGCCGTTGACCGGTGGTTGACCGGTGTTGCTATTTTATTTTTAACTAATTTTTTAATTTTCAAAATTAAAAAAAAGGTGAGTTTTGTGGTTCCAAGTGGTGAGCTTTGCTTTATTTCTAGGTGAGCTTTGCATTGTCCATTGGTGAGCTTTGTGGTGTAGTGTGGTGAGCTTTGCGTCATCTGACCGAAGCATGTCATCGCACTGTAAGGTGTCATCTCACTGGAGTCAATCCCCTATATATATATATAATATATATATATATATATATATATATATATATATATATATATATATATATATATATATCTGTGTGTGTGTGTTGGAGATTTATTTTGAACTCAAAATTGAATTTTAAATAAATGGGCACAACTCCTTAAAAAGACATATTTATTCTTAAATGACATAACTCTTGACTATTTATTTTGAATTTAAATTGGAAGTTTTTAATTAAATGGGTGTGTCTCTTACAAAAAAAACATGATCATTTATAAAGGGGCATATTATTTTCTATAAACAGGACCCATGTCACAATGCAAAAAGAGAGGGAAACTTTATGTTCGAAAAATAATTTATTATTAGTTATTATTTCATTGATTATTTGAAATAATGAAGAGATAATGTATTGATTTCTTATATTTATTCTATGATGATGAAATATTAATTAGTGTACTTTTCTAAGTTTTTGATCTCCTTTCTCTCGAGACAAGTCTCGTTAAAGTAAATTAACAAATTGTTTCCTAGAGCAACCAAACAATTTGGTCTTCTTCATTGTATCCCAAAAGTTCTATCTTGTAAACCTTGTTGCTTATAATAGGGTAGATAAGATTCTTTAAGAAAAGCGTATCCAAGGATCACGCGCCTTGAAGGTTTATCCGAATAAATTAACCAACCCTATTTTGAATTACGTGTGGCTTGATCTCCTTCATTGGGGTACATAGGCAACTTAGAATGTGTTATTTTTCTAGGTGCAGTCATAATATTAAAATTATTTTTTATTGTTCGAACAATATATATATATATATATATATATATATATATATATATATATATATAGAAGAAGGAAAATAGATAATTTGAGCCTAACTTTAAAACCCTGAGCTTAGATAATATATTGCAAGCCTTACATTTCCATATTTGTACTCTTTTTTTTGTTTGGTTGGACTCGTTTTTTAGTGCCTTATTTTGATGCTTTGGCCAGCTTGTTTGGGAACGGGCCACTCCCACCTCTTGTATTTTTTATTTTGTTCAATAAAATCTCTTTAAAAATAATATATATATATATATATATATATATATATATATATATATATATATATATATATATAGACACACACTAGCCTTGGTTTGTTAAGGCTCGTGTTTTGATGTTAACAAACAATAAGAGCTAAACGTTTGTTTAAGTGTTTCGGGTACAACAAGAATCCATTAAGATTCGGTTCTCAAGAATGAAGTCGAAACACTAAACTAGCGTAAAATTTAGGTAAAAACCAATGTAAGGATATGATTTTATATACCTCTATTCAAAAACTCAAAAGTACTCACAAAATATGTTTAAAACCATTACATAAACATTTTCAAACATTCAAAAGGTTTTAAACTCAAACGAGAAGGATTAAGGAAATTTTGGAAAACGCAAGACAGTGGCACGGTACCCCCAACGGTACCCTATACTGTCGGCACGGTACCCTATATTGCCGGCACGGTACCTCCTACCATTTGGATGCAGAAACCGCGAGAGCTAATTTAAGTTTTGAAGGCACACGGCAGGGCCGGTCCTGAGAGTTCATGTGCCTGGGCCGAAACAGAAAAAAGGCCCAAGCTATTGAATTATTTTTGAAATAAAATCCAAATTTATAAATTCTACTTCTTAGTAAAATTAAGTATGAAAAACTGAAAAGTAAGCAAATAAATAAATATATCATAAACTAATATCAATTCGTCAATATTTCTTTTTTAATTTTTTTTGCTTTTTCAATTTTAATTTTTTTATAAATCATAAGTTCATATCAATTCGTCAATTTATCAGTTTTGAATTTTTTTTTTCAGTTTTCAGTTTTTTATATAAATATATCATAAATAACAAATTCAAATCAATTAATCCAAATCAAATACGTAGTAAATAACATATAGAACCATTAATTCATTCAATTTTAAAGAATGAAATTAGAAAAGATTTCAAATTAAAAACTAATAATTAACCCTAGATTTTAAATCTAAAAAATGAAACAATGAAAGAAAATTAAGATTTAAAAATAAAAATTACAAAATTAGAAAGCTATGAATAATTGAATATGGAATACCCGTGGAGGGCGGCGTCCGGCAGGGTGACGACGGTGTCCTTTGTTCTGGCGTTCGGCTATTGGCTCTTCCGGTAATCCAGTCCTTTCTTCGACTGTTCGGTAGTCCCTAATTGGTTCTTTTTTTTTTGTTTACGGGTGACAAAGTGAGTGGGTGGACTAGGCTAAGGGGGAGAGTAAGTGAGGGGTGGATTGGGCCTAAAATGGTATGGGCTTATATATATATAATACTTAAAAAAAGAATTTTGTGCCCCTAAAATTATTGGGCCCGGCCCGGACGGACACTTTGTCCCCCTATTGGGCCGGCCCTGGCACACGGTACCAAGGTACCGCCACTCACGGTACCCCCTACCGTACGCATGGTAACATGCTACCGTGAGGACGGTATCGGCCTACCGCGACCATTGGGTTATTGTTTCTGATTTGTGAATTTGATTTTAAACAATCCTAATCACCTCCCAACAGCTAATTAAGCTATTCCACTATAAATACACACTTTGAGCTTGTGTTTCTAGTTATATATTCTCATATTCATGAGTTTGAATTGTATTTTTGAAAAAGTATAATTTCCTTCTACACCGTCCAAGTTTTGTTCTTCATTTTTATATTTTAGCTGTTGTGTAGAATCCTTGTTTGTGTTCTTCAAACACACTTTCTTGCGGTCGAGAATAGCCGTTAAGTTCTCTCATTGTAACGGTTAAGGAGTGCCGTATAAATCCTTGGGTTGAGGTTCAAATATAGCCTTTGAAATCCTTGGGGGAGCAGTAGAAGATAGCCTTTAAATCCTCGTTGTAAAAGGTTCGAGATAGACGTTGTAGAATCTCGGAGTGAATCCTATGGGCAAGGGTTGTTTGCCAAACCAGTGCGTTGCTTTGACGGAGTTCAAGAGACCGGGACTTAGTGGATTTGGAAATCCTTGAAGAGGAGCTTCGAGGTACTGGAGTAGGCAGTTCCCGGACCAGTATAAAATCGGTGTGCATTTTATTTATGCTTTTATTTCTGCGTTTTATATATTGCTTTTGCATTTGCCAACACCGTTTTTATTAAACTTCAGAAAGTTTTCAAACGCCTTATTCATCCCCCCTCTAAGGTGTTGGCACAACTGCTAACACAAACTAACAATATATATATATATATATATATATATATATATATATATATATATATATATATATATATATATAATGTATAAACAATTAGTGTTCGTTTACTTCAATTGAATGCGAATTCATATTGCTCTAATTATTAAATTTTATGTTAGAGTATATATACATGAATGTTTGGTGTATTACAGCAAAACCACGCAGCCATGCGAGAGGTAGTTCCTGAACAGGGCTCAAATGTGACACCTCTATGTGGGCTTAAATCTATAATCGGAGGACATGATGTTACGAATCGTGTTCATGCTGTTGGAGATCTCGCATGGAGCCTAACACGAATGCTTGCAAGTGAGGCAAGACGTGCCAGCACCACCTCTATGTGGGACCCTCGAGATGATGAGATCAAGAAGTTGAGAGAAGAACTAAACGATATTAGAGCTTCTCAAGCGTGTGACTTACTATCGATTAGAGAGGAGATGAACCGACTATATGGGGATTTTTTCCATGTAGAAATGGAGATGGCGGTGGGGATGAAGGAGGATCGAGGTTTGCAGGCATTTGATGAATCTTTTATCAGAATTGAAGAACACCATATTAAACTTAACTTTGATGGTTATTTTGGGGAGTTAGTAACATGATTGTTGAATTTTTATAAATATTTGCTGAATTTTAATAATAGCTTGGTGATTTGAATATTCTTGGTTGTTTGTCAGTCTTCATTTGGTGTATTTGTTGGTTGTGTAAAGTTAAAAAATAGTAGGTTCCTGTATTTATTGGCGTGTGACATTGAAATACAACAGGTTGCTATAAATTAAAATTTCTATCAAATCGGTGATGGAATTCGTGACGGAATCAGCTTTCTGTCGCAATATGGTCTGTTCTTCAAATTGTTCGTCAATCCATTACTAGACTAGCGACGGAAGAGAACCGTTGTTAAAACCATTGCTAACTCCGCCGCTATTTCCGTCGTTGCATAGTGACCGATTTCAAAAAACCATCATCATACTAAATACTAATAATGAAAAAATAAGGACGGAAGAAAGTGGATCAGAACTTTATATGGGCAAGTGGTCTAGTCTCACCCAATACTCTACCGAGTTCACTCGGCCCACCGAAATTCCAACATGGTATCAAAGTCAAGTTCGAATCGAGTTTTATTTATCTTGGTATTCACCGGGCTAGCTATAAAGAGATCGAGATGTTAAATCCATTCATTCATCTATTTGGTAACTAGACCAGATTAGTTAACACTTGAAGGGGTGTTGGGAACCGTGTGTTGGGACACTACCATTTAAAGAAAGGTGGAGCTCTTCCCATTAACTTAAGCTTTTGGAAAGAAAGTGGACCCGAACTTTATATGGGCAAGTGGTCAAATCTCACCCAATACTCCGCCCAGTTCACTGGCCACCAATTCAAAATTCCAACAGAAAGAGTAATAGTTAGTTCTCCTCAACCTATTACTTTTACTTATTAATTTTTATTTAAATCAGATTAAATCAAATCACAAACAACTTTAATTAGGTGAGACTAAAACTTAATTGAATAACCAATCATATAAGTCGAACAAGTTTTAGTACGTACATACCATCAAAGTAGCTTTGACATGGTTGCGGTGGAATGGAAAGTCGGATTCTCCAGACTTCATGATGGCCAACAAAATCTCAACGAAATCTTTAGTACGGCCGCTGCTGTCTCCGCCGCCGCCAGCTCCGCCCTGCTCGTGGTCCTCAAGGATCCCCTCAAGGAGCTTATCAAAGACCTCAGCGATGGCCTTCATTCTTCTTCTCAATCCTTGAATGTCCAGCCAGGTGTTGTTGTAATTACAAAGGTGTGGGAAATAATCTGCAAGATTTATTTTTGTGAACAAGCGCATAGCCTCTCTTACCACACCCTTGAATCCCCTCTCGTCAATGTCCTTCATCTCATACTTCTTCCCGAACACCATCCTACAGCTCATGTCCGCCGTTAAGGCCGAAACCCTTTCACCCAAATCAACTGCGGCGGCCCCCACCTTCTTCTTCAGCGACTCAATGACATGATTCAGCTCTTCCATCCTCATGCCTTGAAATGAGTTGACCTTGAGGTTAGTGAGCAGCTGCATGGTGCAGATCTTGCGTGTGCTTCGCCAGTACGCGCCGTACTGGCTAAAGCTCAAGTTCTTCTGGCCGTAAGCGATCAGCTGCGCGGCCTCATGAGGGGGCCGGCTTGCAAAAACAGAATCGTGAGTCTTTAGGAAGAGCTCCGCGGCACGAGGGGAGGAAACGATTACGTGCTCCACGCTTCCTAACCGCAAACGCATGATGGGGCCGTGCACTTTGGCTAGATTGCGCAAGTCTTCATGGGTGTTCTTACCAAGCAAGTGAAGGTGTCCCAAGATAGGAATCTCCCTTGGACTCGGGGGTAGTTTTTTCCCTCTCTGCTTCTTATTCTTCTTCTTCACCATACCGTCAACAAGAATCAGAAGCATTGCTACAAACACAAAGGTAGCAATTGTTGTCCAAATCCAATCCATGCCCATCATCTTAGCTTGAAGCTAGCTAGCCAAGTGGTCGGTCTCTTTTGTTTTTCTTGCTTAATGGGATGGAAGTTAGTTTTCACTCGGCATGTATTCTTAAATAAATGGGAAAATTGAATGGCGTGCTCATGCCTCTTCCTCTGGGTAATTTCCTTCCAGGAAAGTGTCAAAAAGGATATATTGACTTACTTTGTGGTTTCTTTTTTGAAGGACATTTTATCATTAACGTACGCTTCTTCTTAATTTATTACCGCGAAATGTTGGGTTCCTTTCTTATTTTATTCTAGAAAATACTACTTTCAATTTCTCATGGTTTAGGAAAAGTAAAAAATATGTGATTAAAATTAGTTAAAAGGAGAGATATTTTTTTAGCTCCAAAGGATTTGCCTTGAAAAGAAAGATAGGTTTTTTTGGACACAAAAAAAAAGGAAGTGAAATATTTTTTATGGAGTGAAAAGTTTATAAAGAAATTAAATCGATACCGGTTCTAGCCGGTTCTGGTATCAAATATTAAGAACCAGAACCAGAATCATTACCCACATTTTTGGGCAATTCCAGTACCCTACTGGTTCCATTGCCAGTTTCGGTACCGGTTCTAAACCGGAACTGTAAAATAATCTCATTTTCATGCATTCTATTAACTTTTAAATAGAATTGTTCATTCGTTTTTCCGGGCCGATAAGTGGATGTTTTACCAAACTTTTTCATGGGCTGACAAGTAGATAGATTTACTTTTTTGCAAAAAGCTAAATTCTTTTTTGAAAAATACTACTTGTACCCCATATTTGTATCACATTTTCTGTCCTAAGGCTTTGCCCTGATATTAAATATAAGTACAAAACTGGTATTATGCCAGTGTTGCACCTATATCTTATATCAGGGTAAAGCTTTAGAGTACAAAATCAGGTACAAAAAATGGGGGTGAGAGTAGCATAAATGCACTGATGTCTAGATGGCAAGTTTCGTTGAGCATAAATCCTAGGACAAAAAATTTTACTGTACTAATTTTTCTTACATGAAAAGATCTACTCCCTCCGTTTTCAAAAACACTTCCTCTTTCATTTTTTTCACTTCCAACAAAACACTTACACTTTCTATTAAAAAACCACTTTTACCCTTACTTTTTCATACCCTACTTATCACATCATACTTTTTCTCTAATAATCTATCCATCATATCTTACTTTTACCCATCACATCAAGGACAAAATTGGAAGTCAACTATAATTTAACACTTCCTTATTTTTCCACTTTTTCAAAGTAGGAACTCTTTTTGAGAACGGAGGGAGTAGTTAATATATTAATGGGAAGTTTTGTTGGCAGGGTAAGTAAGGACTGTGGCTATATATGGCCTCTTTTTCTTCCCTCAAAGCTAATAAGGGGTTGCCTGGTCTCACGGAGAGAACAGACATCATATTCATTCAAACGGAGTGTCCGTTACGGCAGTTAAGTCTTTTTTTTTTTTTGTAAATGATTTTTGTTGATTTGAGAAAATCCGTAGATTCTTATATGAGGAAACTTTTACACTATGTTTGGTTCAAGGAATTCAAAAGAGAAAAGAAAAGAAAATGAAGTGGAAAACAAGTTTTCTTGTTTGGTTAGAAAGGAAAAGTGGAACGAAAAGAGAATGAGAAGGCAAAATGTACCTAGTGGAGGGAAAACCAAATTCCTCCCATTTTGGTAAAAAAATGAGAGAAAACTATTTTCTTATCTTTTCCTTCTAAATTCCTTGAACCAAACATAGTGTTAGATTTTGTGATGTTAATAGCAAGGACTCAAAGAAAGTGGCTAGTGGATTATTTCTATATTTTGTGCCATTGTCGCATTGTACAGCTTTGATAGTGGTTTGAAATTGATTTTTGACCATTGCATGGAATTTTACAAGATGGGAGTAAGCATCAGATTTGTGACGTAGAGAAAAAATCCATAAATAATGAGAGAAATCATCTAGTAAAAGCATATAGAATTTAAATCCAGTAACACTAGGAACAGGCGATTGCCATAAGTCTGTATACATTAATTGAAATGGAAAAAGAGATACACGACTCGAGGACTGAAAAGGAAGGTGAACATGTTTGCCTAACTGACATGCATGACATAAAGAGTCTAACTGATATTTATTAAAACTATCAAAAGAAGAAGAGACGCCATGGAGAACTGCGGGGCTTGGGTGGCCAAGTCGGCGATGCCACGTGGACAGGTCGACTTTTGCTAGGTGAAGATGCGCTGGGAGTTGGCCTTGAGATAGCGGGTAGAGGTGTCCGTCACTATTGGATCGATGAATCACGGCTCCCGTTCGTTTGTCCTTCACAGAAAAACCGGATGAGTCAAACTCAACTGAACAGTTGTTATCACGAGTAAATTGACGGACAGAGATAAGGTTATAGATAATATGTGGGGAGACAAGGACATTTTTTAGGGAGAGGGGAGGGTTTGTGTTAAGGAGACCGTTACCAGAGGCCGTTGTTGTGATATTTTATTTACTCGCAAGTGCACGAACCGTATGAAAGTATAGCAACGCAAATACGAGGTCAATCCCACAGGGACTTGATTATGTGAAGAATTTTATTCTAGATTCAATTGAATATTTCTAATCTAATTGGACATAATTTAATATTTTAAGAAAAACTAAATGTGAAAATGAAGAATTTTAAAGAAATCTTAAATAATTAAACAAAAACTAAAGATTGTATTAACTACTAAAAACTAAGAAATTAAAAATAAGTTTTCAAATATGAGAAAGAACTAGGACTTGGAATCCACTTATATATTCAAATATAATTTTTACTCAATCATTATTTTTTCCAAACTTAATACGCATGATAATCTCGCAACCAAGTCTTGTTATCATGGAGGATATATCAATTAAGCTCTAAAAAAAATCAATATATAAAATATGTTATTTTTCAAAGTTATAAGAGAAATTCAAATCATTAATTGTATCTCATCAAGAAATCACAACTAATATCTGCTCTTTTAACTTGTCAAACAATTATCAAGATTATACAAAGCATGAGAAAAACATTATTGAACTCATCTAAAAATTAATCCTAATAATCAATTGGAAAAATAGACAATAAACATTTAAGATCAATATGGAAAAATAAATCATGAATAAAAATCAAATAGAATATATAAGTTTCATCCTTGCCCTAGCTATGGAGTTTAGCCAAACATAATGTAAAATTCAACAAGATTGATAGTAAAACTTGACATAATTAAAGAAGAATGGAAGAATTAAACTCTGAAATTGGAGGAAGAAGAAGGACCGCGCTGTTGCAGTGCCGCTCCAGATTCGTCGCCGCCGTCACTGAAGGTCGGAAGACCCGCCGGAGAGCATTGCCGCCGCTCAAAGCTGCTCTCTGTTCTTCGGTTTTTTTCGATTCCAGCCTCCCTCCTCCTTTTATATCCCCTTTTTTTTGTTTCTTTAGGTTTTTATTTTGTTGGGTTGAGAATTAAGATAGGATTTGTATAGCAATTGGATCTTGACTTTCACTTGGACTTTAAATCTTCAATCCATTAAAGCTTGGCCCAATTCTCCATCTCTTGAATTTAACATCTTTTTTTTATTCCAAAAAGTATATCTGAAAATACATATAAGACAAATTAATTTCAACACGAAATATAATAAAAATTTTACCCAACTTATGATTTTAGTGTAAAAATATAACAAGTAGCCTAAAGAGCCAAATATTTCATTATACACTTTATTTTCACATAAAATGCATTAAAAATATAATAAAATACTAAAGTATGACCAAATAAAATGTGACAATTTTTAACGTATCAAATACCCCCACACTTAGTCCTTTGTATGTCCTCGGGCAAAGTAAATACCAAAAATCAAAACTCCTTTTTTTTAATACTATAACTCAAAATAATTCTCTATCTTATAACAACATAAAGTGATGTATTTGAACATTAATCAAAAATTAATCATATACCAAAGAGAATGAACACTTTAAAAATCAATTTGCTACTTTAAATTTTAAACAATTCTTTCACTTCAAAGCTAAGTAGAAATTACTTTTATTCAATGTCAAAACTTTGAATTAATTAAGGTCATTGAGAATAATTTAAAAGAAATACATAGAGCAACAAAAAGTAGTTAGAAATCCTAAGGAACCATCAAGTAAAGAAATGCTCAAGAAAATTTATTTTGTTTTCTAAAATCTGGAAACTTCGATTTATTGCTTTTATTTAGCATTTAATTTTTTCATTGTTTGAGTTGACCCGTGTAGCGAGTCTCAACCAGGCTACCCCAGGCCCATTCCAAATAGCCCAGGACCTAAATAAACGAAGTATTCCGAGGGTTTCAACTCGAGTGCTCAAACAATGTTTTATTCATTTATTTTACTTTTTTTTACCTAGCCATTTATTGCACTTTTTTCTTTTTTTTTGGGCTCAATGGCGTCGGTTTTTTTCCTTATTATTTTAAACTGGTTATGGACGAGATTCTTACGGCCCAAAACGGGGTTTGATCTTCAACTTAGGCTTTCTCCATACACAACATCACTTCCTTTTGGGATTCGTTGCTTAAGGGGTCAAAGGTGCCGTGCCACCCATTCCAACCTAAGATGGTGTTCCAGTATATATATTATATTCATTTCAACATCTCGATAATATGTAGTTAACCAAAATTTAGAGAAGAAAAAAGATTTTCTTAAAACTAACTTTACTTGAATAGAAATTTAGGATGAAAAAAGAGTTAGAAAACTGCTCCATATAATTCTAAATAAATTAGGCACATTGAACTTAACTAAATAAAAGGTAAGAGATTAAATAAAAATAAGTTCTAAATAGATTTGATTTAAAAGATATGTTTTAAATTTTGGAGTAGCAAACTCATTCTTTTAAGAAGTTCAAACATATTTGTTACAATATTAATTTCCATTTAATGCCAAAATACAAACACTTAAGTGCTAAAAGATTAAGAAGTAATTATTTTGAATTCTAATAAGCTTTTTTTTTTACACACGCTTCCAACTATTATAGTTTTCTCTAAAAACTTAAAATTTTTTGAATTTTTTTAACCAAAATGCATCTATTATGCAGAAAAAAAATTCTACCCACCCCATGCTCCTCTAATATCTAGTATGCATAGTAAAAACATGCAAATAAATTTTAACAAGTATATTCCAAAAAAATGCACAACTAAATGTAAGTGTCCCCCACACTTAATTCATGCAATGTCCTCAATGCATGTCAAAGTTATAAAATAAAAAAAAACCTTTGCACATACTAGCTAAAGCTATTAAAAACATGGAACATGGAATGAGATTAAGGGACGAAAACATCAACAGCTCAAGAAAAATATTAAGCAAAATAACTTCCCTGGAAAATATGGGGTTGTCTCCCACCAAGCGCCTTTGTTTACTGTCGTTGGCTCGACTTCATGCAGCTCTCCGATAAGTTTCCTTCTCCACCTGATAAACAAATGACAAGGAAAAAAAATAAAAGGAACAAATAACTAGGGCAAATAAAAGTTCTTTTTTTTGGCCGACACTATTTACATCCCCATACAAAGGCACCGAACTCTGGGAGGCACTTAAGCCGACTCACTAAGATTAAGAAAAAAACAAATAGTTAATATTATAAATAAATTAGTCCTGGTAAACAGGATCAGGATCTTCAACTGTTATCTCCTCGATCACTGGAGATTTTAGTTCATGAAAGGGTTTCAATCATTGGCCATTTGCCTTAAAAACAGCACCATCCTTGGGATTTTCAATTTCAACAGCCACATGGGAATAAACAGTGCGAACAATGAAAGGACCAGACCACCGAGATCTCAACTAACCAGGAAACAAATGCAGACGAGTATTATAAAGTAAGACATTCTGGCCAGGCTCAAAAGATTTCCTGAGAATATTCTAATCATGCACTCTTTTCATTCTTTCTTTGTAAGATTTAGCACAATCATACGCATCACTTCTAATCTCTTCTCTTCTAGTTCATTAAGTTTCAATTTCCTCTCAACACCGGTTTGCTCCAAATCAAAATTTAAAGTTTTAATAGCCCAATATGCTCTATGCTCTAATTCAACTGGAAGATGACATGCTTTTCCATAAACCAAACGATAAGGAGACATACCCATGGGAGTTTTAAAAGCCGTACGATATGCCCATAATGCATCATCTAATTTTAAAGACCAATCTTTTCTTGAGGAATTAACTATCTTTTCCAAAATTCTTTTAATTTCTCTATTAGAAATCTCAACTTGACCACTAGTTTGGGGATGATAAGGAGTAGAAATTTTATGCAAAACACCATATCTTTTCATCAAGTACTCAATAACTCTATTACAAAAATGTTTACCCCCATCACTGATAATAGCTCGCGGAGTACCAAATCGTGCAAAAATATTTTCTTTTAAAAATTTAACAACAGTTTTATGATCATTATCCCTGCATGCTTTAGCTTCCACCCACTTGGATACATAATCAACCCCAACAAGAATGTAAAGATTACCAAAAGAATTAGGAAATGGTCCCATAAAGTCTATGCCCCAGACATCAAAAATATCTATAATTAAAATTGGATTTAAGGGCATCATATTTTTCTTATTAATGGTACCTAGTCTTTGGCATCTATCACATGATGAACAATATGTATGGCAATCACGAAAAATTGTACGCCAATAAAAACCACTTTGTAAAATTTTGTAGGCTATTTTCTTAGCACTAAAATGACCACCACACGCATGATCATGACAAAAAGAAATAATGCTTTGTTGATCACATTCAGGAACCCACCTTCTTATGATCTGGTCAGAGCAATACTTGAATAGGTAGGGATCATCCCAAAAGAATTGTTTTACCTCAAACAAGAACTTAGACTTATCTTGCTTGCTCCAATTTGTAGGTAACTGCTTTGTAACTAAATAATTCACAATATCGGAAAACCAGGGAGTTCCAAAAACTTGCATTAGTTGCTCATCAGGAAAAGACTCAACAATAGGTAAATCAGTATCATTAGTATCAATAATCAATCTAGACAAGTGATCAGCTACTACATTTTCAGAGCCCTTTTTGTCTCTAATTTCTAAATCAAACTCTTGTATAAGTAGAGTCCATCTTATGAGTCTAGACTTAGCATCTTTTTTAGACATCAAGTACTTCAATGCAGAATGATCAGAAAAAACAATAACTTTAGAACCCAAAATGTATGACCTAAATTTTTCCAAAGCAAATACAACAGCTAACATCTCTTTCTCAGTAGTAGAATAATTCAATTGGGCATCATTGAGTGTTCTACTAGCATAATAAATTACATGAGGTAACTTATTAATTCTTTGGCCTAAAACAGCTCCAATAGCATAGTCAAAAGCATCACACATAATTTCAAAAGGTATAGACCAATCAGGAGGTTGAATAATAGGAGCAGATGTTAACTCCTTTTTTAATGTATTGAAAGCTTGTAGACATGCATCATCAAATATAAAAGGAACATCCTTACCTAAAAGATTACATAAGGGTCTAGAGATTTTACTAAAATCTTTTATAAATCTCCTGTAAAAACCTGCATGGCCCAAAAATGATCTAATTCCCTTGACATTCTTTGGAGGAGGAAGATTAAAAATTAAATCAACTTTTGCTTTATCTACCTCAATTCCATCTTTAGAGATAACATGACCGAGAACAATGCCTCTTTTAACCATAAAATGGCATTTTTCCCAATTTAAAACAAGACTTTTCTCTTTGCATCTTTCTAAAACAAAAGATAAATTTTCTAAACATCTATCAAAAGAAGAACCAAAGACAGAAAAATCATCCATAAATACCTCAAGGAATTCACCTATCATATCAGAAAAATACTCACCATACATCTTTGAAAAGCACCAGGGGCATTGCATAACCCAAAAGGTAAATGACGGTAAGCAAACGTACCAAACGGGTATGTGAATGTAGTTTTTTCTTGATCCTCAGGGGCAATGGGGATTTGAAAATAACCAAAATAACCATCAAGAAAACAATAATATTCATGACCAGCTAGTTTTTCCAACATTTGATCAATAAAAGGGAGAGGGAAGTGATCTTTCCTAGTTGCAGAATTTAACTTACGATAATCAATACACATTCTCCATCCTGTTTGAACTCTAGTTGGAATTAACTCGCCGTTCTCATTTTTTACTACAGTTATTCCTGATTTCTTAGGTACAACTTGGACAGGACTTACCCAATTACTATCTGAAATAGGATAAACAATTCCCGCATCCAGTAATTTTATCACCTCACACCTAACTACCTCTTGCATAGTAGGATTCAATCTTCTTTGTGGCTCACGTGTTGGTTTGGCATTTTCCTCTAAACGAATTCTATGTAAGACAACCGAGGGACTAATACCCTTAATATCAGCAATTGACCAACCTATAGCTTCTATATGTTTCTTCAACACACTCACTAATCGTGATTCTTGAGATTTATTTAGATCAAAAGCTATCACAACAGGCAATGTATCATTATCTCCTAGGAAAACATACTTAAGAGTATCGGGCAATGGTTTCAATTCTAATTTAGGAGGTACCACAGAAGAAGGCAATAAGGGAGAGGAAGACAATGGGAGTCTCAAAGGTTTAAGCTTCCACTTATCCTCGTTCAAAATAGGTGTAGAATCAAGCAAGTGATTTATCTCAGCAACTGAATCATCCATGTCAAAATCAGTTTCAAAATTAACTAAACATGCTTCTAGTGGATCACCACTACTTGAGTGATGAAAAGTATCATTAATAAGACTCTCTAGCACATTTAATTCACATACATCATCATTATCATCATGCATTTGCTTAGTCACATGAAAAATATTCAATTCCACAGTCATATTGCCAAAAGAAAGTTTCATAACACCATTCTTACAATTGACTAAGGCATTGGCTGTAGCAAGGAATGGGCGGCCTAAGATAATTTGTGTTTGTGTGGAAGAATCCTGCACAGGCTCAGTTTCTAGAACAACAAAATCAACAGGAAAATAAAAATTCTCCACTTTTATCAAAACATCCTCAATTATTCCCCTAGGAAGTTTTACAGATCTATCTGCAAATTGAAGTGTCATCCTAGTAGATTTAAGCTCTCCTAAACCCAATTGCAAATAAACGTGATAAGGCAATAAATTAACACTTGCACCCAAATCTATTAAAGCTCTATTAATGTGATGCTCGCCTATTTTGCAAGAAATTGTGGGAGATCCAGGATCTTTTAATTTTATAGGATATTTATTTTGAATAATTGAGCTCAATTGTTCAGTCAGGAAGGCTTTCTTTGGAACATTTGTTTTCCTCTTTGTTGTTACTAAATCCTTCAAAAACTTTGCATAGGCAGGTACTTGTTTAATAGAATCTAAAAATGGAATGTTTATTTGCACTTGTTTAAACATTTCTAAGATATCTCCTGTTTTACTATTATCTTTTGGAGCTAGGAGCCTATGAGGATATGGAGCTTTAGGAATAAATTTACAATTCTCAATTTCAGTACTCTTAGGATTTGACTTTTTAGGTTCTTCGGACTTTTTGTGTTCATCATCTATGGAGTTCTTAGTTCTCTTATTCTCTTCATTCTCACTTTCAAGTTCTTT